TAGAAAAAATTTGTCCCATTTCTACTGACGCCCCCCTATATAAGAAATCTAAATCTATAAGTGTTCCAACCAAAATGTAAACTCACTCATAGCGTATCTTACAGATGCTATAACATCTACTTGCAGTTAGGGCGAACTATTAAACCACTATGCTTTGCCCAGATGCGACCTGTCTAGCAACACTTGGCCTCTTCTAGAGATCCGGAACTCACTCCAGACTTATTTCTCTCAGATTCTTCGGCTAGCTGTTGCTCGGCTCATCAAGATTCCTGTTCTACAATAGAATACTGTTAAACTGGTGACACTTTCTCGTAGAGAAGGAAAAAAGAAAAAAAAAAGATAATGGAAAATGAAAAAAGGGGTAAAAAATAAAACTAATACATCAAAGAAAACAGATACTAATATTAAGGAATATAAAAAAAACTAAACTAAAACCTAAAAGAAACTATTGCTAAAAAGAAGAAAACCTGCTAATCAAGTAAAAACTTCTAATTATATAGAGTCACGATCTACTATTAAGTGTAAGAGTCTTGACAAGAAATATAAAACTAAAACAAAATACAATATAACTCATGCCAGATGCTAAAAATTATATACAGATGACTAGAGGATACCTGTATATCTCTTTTTACTTTACTTTACTCTTTCAGTTAAATCTATATCTTCATCTGAAAGTATAAGAATTTTGGAATCTCCATGTGTCCTATCCAATGATCATGTGTTTGTATGTTCTCAACAACATGATATGTAAGGTATTCTTTCGAACACTCATTCAGTTACTAAATTCAATAACACCATTTATTTTATACATATTGTTTGTCATCATGCAGATTTTTCCAATATGGAAGTGGTAAACATTGCTGATCTTTTGGAGGAGGTATGCTGAATTCCCCACTTTTTGTTAAAAATTATAGCCAAAAGTATCGAAGAGAGAAAAGTATTATATTTGCGAGAGCTCAAGACAAAGAAAGTGTTTTCAGTTGTTTATTATAGAACTAAAAAGCTTCAAACACTTGAGTTAGAAGTTTTTTATCACTACTATTACTAAAATAAACCTTTTGGCTTGGATGCCGAATATGTGAAGGAGTCCACCCAGAAGTAAAGCTTGATCCAAAGCACAAACCAACTATATACATCCTACTCCTTGGTGTTTCACGTATAAGTCTTCGTCAACAATAGTACCAATAAGGAACCTCAGGTATCTTCAAACTTCTTAGAGCCTTGAATCTTCAAACTGTTTTGGTCCAGTCTTGGTCGTCAGAAAAAGTTGTGTTGTAACTGTTTAGTATTAGTATTAATGTTAGTAATTTTTAAATCTTCTTTAGTATAAGTGGATATATATAAATTATTACAAAATTATATTATATAAAACCTAACTAATTTGAGCTAATTTAAATTCTAACTTTAACCCTAATCCTAATAATTTATAAAATTATTTAAATTGACTCAAATTAGTTAGGCTTTATATATTATAATCTTATATTAATTATATATACCTATTTATACTAAAAATTAACTGTGATTTAGTGAAGTAGTGAAGTTGTTGCACCCTAAGTAGTAGAGTATAAGTTCAATTTCTATGGAAAGCAAAAAATTAGATTTTAGAAAAACAGATTCGGCAACTATCATCATAGCTGGAAAAACTTAAGATCCTGTAACTATAGTCGTACCAAGATAAAAATTGGAAGGTTCTGAGACATTTGTATAATAAAGGAGTTATACAAAAGCATGCAAGCTGGTTTAGTCGATGCAAATCTAAGATAAATTCTTCAGAATCATAGAAAGCCACAAAGTCAATATAGTGGTGAGCACTCGTTTGAGAAGTCTTAAATAGAGAGATAGCACAGATCTTTGATGGTACTATATGCAGATTAATGCTTAGAGAACTGGATAAAATCAAACAAGACCAAAGTATTTGACAAGGCACTTCACTAACCAGGCTACTGGAGGAGTAACCAGAGAAAAAGGACCTAATTGTAGGGACCAGAAACAGATCATAGCCCTTCTGGGCCATATGAATTGGTAGTTTGGGATAGCTGAGAAACAGTAAAAGTCTGTAGGTATACCAGGGTTTGGGTGAACTCTATAAAGGTGATAGTAGGTAATTGTAACTGCCTTGGCTTGTGAATATTTGTCTTTAGACTCAGCATAAGTTACCAAAAAAGACTAAGCAATACAGGAATAGTGGATACCAGACTGCTCTAGCAGGTAATATACTTGAGGATAAATCAGATAACTATGCCAGTAGTCCTATAGGTAGACACGACGATCTTAGAACTTGAACTAACTTACTCATTTACTGTACATTGTGTATTCTCTCTATGGACAAAAAGATATATAAAGGATGCATTTTTCTTTCTCTGCCAATTCTATAAGTTTCTATACTTCACTTAGACTCTGTTCTCTTTATACCCTTCTTGTAAATGTGATATTTCTCCTCTAGGATAATCCCTATAAGCAAGGTTTATCCTGTGTTCTTACATAAAATAAAGTTATTCTATATACTGTTACTATCTTGACCCGTTTGTCTCCTGCTGCGTAGTTAAGTGAACAACTACACATCCATCCTGTGTATATTTACAAGAGTTAATCACTGCACTAGATGACCTTGTTATTTGGTTGTATTTTATTAAGAAGGTTACAACCCTGTAACATTATAAACCTGTAAAGGATCTTTGTAACTGTGTTATTGTTATAATACTGCTGTTAAGAAGGCTACAGTACTGTAATACTACTAAGACAAATTATATTTAGATAAAAGCCAGATAAGCTATTTGTTTAGTTAGATTAGTTACAACTATAAATAAAAATTTTATAGTATATAAAATTCGAAGCAGGTAACATTAGAAAAGAACCTTTGATCTTTTCTTAACAAAGTGTCTTTATTATATTCTGTTATAATAAAATTTTTTGAACAGTTTAAATTAAGGTAATTTCTATTTATACACAGAGTGTTTGTACACAGATATATAGAAAACCAATCAGATTGCATGATTAAATGTAATGTAAAATTATTGTATTCTTTAAAAAATCAGTTATAACTCAAATTTTCGCTTATAAAACTGCTTTTTGATATTAATTAAAAAAATTTCTTGCAAAATTTTGGTATAAACTACTTCTTGCCTCCATTTCAAACTCACCTTTACTCTAATCTTAGGCAATATTTAGCTTTTTGTTTATACAAATTGTTTTAATTTATACATTACATAGATTGCAAATTAATATCCATGTACAAACACACCATATACACTAAGAAATTTTCTTAAATTAAAATACAGTAAACAGAAACAGGATTGTCAAATTATTAATAAAAAATATATAGAATAATAATATAAAATATACAGTACCAGACAGTAAAAAATATCCACTTTTTTTTTAAAACGCCAAATTTTTGGATTATATGATCAAATGTGATTGGCTAATTTTTGGATAATAAATTCTGATTGGTTAAAAATATATATAGATAATTTTTTTTTATATATTAAACGCCAAATTTTTGATTACATATAAACTTTAAGCTCTAATAACTTTTTAATTTTATAATAAAAATAAAAATCTATTCTAACAGAATTGTAGCTAGTGTGAAAGGCAACAAATTTGTAAGACAGATTTTTTTTAAAGTTATTAGTCTCTGAATTATAAGCATTTTTATATTTTATATATAAAAAGTAGATATTTTTTACTGTCTGGTACTGTATAATACAGTACAATATAAAAAAATATAAGAAAAATATTAATAAAAATTCATCTATATTACAATATATAAAATCAGGTTTTTATATAATTTAACTTTTTCTCTCTAAAAAATTACCTAATTTTTGTCACTTCCTTTACTAGTATTATTATTTTACAGACTTGATTAGATTATTTTACAGTATTTAATACAGTATATTTAATTATATTTTTTGATTAGTTTTTTTAATATACTGTATACAGTATTTACTGTATTTAGTACTCTAAATATCAACATTTCTGGTATAAATTAAAAATAATCTACATAACAAATATGTAATACAATATACAAGTCTCCACCTTAAAAAAAAAAAAAACTAAAATTTTTAACAATTTAGTTTTGATATAATAAACTTTATTATTAAAAGTTAAATTTTGTATCACGCTAGTATAAATTAAGAAAATTTCTTTTGTTTTTGTTTATAGGTATATTTATTGTTATTATTATTACAATAAAATCTTGGAACACAATTTGACACAATTGTCAATTATCATCGTTATACATTGAAACAAAGAGCAAATCATATTGTTACATTCGACAATGTTGCACGAGCCGCATACGTCCAATAATAATAATAGCGAAGAATCGAGACGCGCTTCTGCAATATAAAAAAACCACTTTACAGTATTCCGCATTCTTTTAGTAAATAATAAATTAAAATTGCGTAAACTGAACTTTAATACGAAATAATTACGTATTATTAAATTATTGAGATGACCATTATTTACGCACGTACGTACGTACGTGCAAAGTTTTATTGTTTTTTAATCTTTTACATATCACGTGATCCAAGGAGTTACACACATAATAATGTTGTAAATATAAGGAGATCATCATTAATGTTAAGAACTTTCCTTACCGTGACTCCAACAGGTAAGTTTGGAGCTACAAGACTACGCTGCAATGATTTACCGTCACGCATAACTGGTCTGAGTGGCTTGACTTTCGATGGCGTTACATCTTTCGTAGCTGATTAAAACTTTTAAATCGTTTTTTGTTTTTTTTTTTATTTCAAGATTGGTAAAGAAGGGCTTACAATATTTCTCAAGAGGTAATGTTAAATTTTAAAATTTAATATAAATATCCTTTAACAACCAGTAGATCTATAGATTTATTTTCTAATTTTACGCATTTTCGCGTTGTGACAAGAGCATAACTCACGTTTGATTTATATTGAATAGTTCAAACAATGCTTACAAGGTCGAAGCGAGACGGAAGAAAGGTTAGCTTTCAAACGTCACAACGGGGTAAAAAGGAATCTACTTCAAAAATGACCAGGATGTCTAAGAGAGCTTTTGTTCTGACAAATTCATCTGATGAAGATCACACCCCTGAAGTTAGTGAATCTATAGTTAGTGATTGAGTGATTAATTAATGTCAGTAACCAGTAACTTAATGAATTTCTAAAATTTTAGGAAGCCGAAGTGCTCAAACAAGTTTCAGAAAGCGAACTTGAAACCGAAGAAAGCACCGACACTGAAAATAATGGAACATCAGAACACGAATTTCCAGAGGGAGATGAAATAACTAATGATGAACTGGGAGAAGAGGATGACAGTTCGGATTTAGACTTTCGAATCACTACGCGTTCTACAAGAAATAAGCCACGAATCAATTATTCTGATGAGACATATTATTCAAACCGTCTTGGTGATAATAATGGAAATTCGAAAAGGAAAGCAAAAGAATTATTTTCAGGTGACGAGATTGAACAAAAACGGATTAAACCTTCAAAACAAGTAATAAGAAATAGGCGGAACAATTCTCGTCGAGATAATACATATGGTGATTCATCTGGGCAAAAAAGGCGATCTCTTCGAAGTAATAAAAATTTCAATGAGGCCAGCTACTATGAAGGGACTTCTAATAGTGGCGAAGATGATGAATCAGAGTTGTCGGAACAAAATGAATCATCTGAATCATCGGAGTCGTCTGATCAAGAAAGACACGTTTTCCGAAGGAAGATAAAGAAAAACTATCATATAGTATCTTCAGATGAGTCTGATAACGAAATCATAACAGAAGCAGCAGAAACTTCTAATTCGCCTCCAAAAGCTTTAGTAACGGAGTCAGAAGTTGAATTGCAGTCTGTACATATATTGGATCCAATTCCTCCATATAAGATGCTAAGAAAGGATGATCCAGAATTTATTGAAAAGCACATATGGTGGTGTGATAAATGTGGTGACAGTAGCAAATCCAAAGGGGCTTTTGTATATTGCGAAAAATGTTCAATTACGTATCATAGATCATGCTATCAATTAAGGTCTACAGTTGTGAATGGTATTGTTGAATGTAAGTTTTGTATCGAAAACGATCCTGAGTGCATTATTTGTCATAAACGTTCGGAAGAGGAGAGTCAGCAACCACCCAATAAGGAGATAAGTAGTGAACGATCTAAAGAAATAAGTGTAAATGAAGAAGTTGTGGTGGATGAGATTCAAAAACCCGGCGAGGAAATAAATAACGATGATCTTAA